CGTCGATAATATATTTATAAATTCAATAACACAAGAACTATAAAGATGTGTGCAGCAGCATTTTTCTGTCTCTTTTCTGAGTACATCACAGCAGATTGCACAGACCACAACCTCCAGTATCCCAACGAGTGTGCCAAGGTTTCATGATGACATTGGGTGGCAGACAGACTTCCTACAAGTCTCAGAGGCCACACAGACATACCTACCTCCAAAGGGGTCATCTGTCCACACACAGTTGGCCTGGGGTACACTAAGGGCCTGATTTACTAAGATCCCAATTAAAGAGTACTAAATTGCGTGTTTGTTTCAACAAATTGCACATTTGGTTGGTGGCCGTTTAGCGAGTAATCTACTAAGTAAACGTTAAGTTAATGAACTAGACTGTGGGGGCCCACCACAGTCTAATCTGTCGCGCCATAGTCTAATATGCCATGCTAGCGTCAGGGAATTATTATCAACTATAAGAACTTTTTTTTTTTTTTAAATACGTTTAAAGTACAGTTTACCCCGTTAAATGTGATGTGTGGCTGCAGTAGCCTACACCGGAATGTGTGATTGTTTTTATGTCCGTTCCCTAAAACGGTCCGTACCTTGTTTCCCTTCTGCAGATTGTTACAAATCACAGCCGTTTGGAGCTTTCCAATCACTGCGCAGGTTTCGGAGTTTTTAAACACAATGAAAGACGTTTTGATCTAGCTGAATATTCTTTTTGAACTTGCAAAACAACTTATGAAAGAGCGGAACAAATCAATTTCGCCTAAAGACGCCGCTCAGCTCCACAGCTCCGCTGCTCACCTGTTGTCTTGAAAAACTGCACTTAAAGTTTACTTATAATTCTAAACATTAGATCAGACCTTTTTTCAAGAGGTTCTCTTCCTTGTGCAAAACTTGCATTTAAAGATAAAGGTGGGTCCGCGGACCACACTTGAGTGGGAGAGAGAGAGAGAGCTATACGGGCGAGCGAGAGTCTAGAACGTACCATTGCATGTAAGTGGACGGACAAGAAACAAAAAGTTAAATTGATCATCTGCTCTACAGTTTACATGTTTACCAGTCAAGTATGTGAACTACGTTGCAGATAGCAGTCTCTGTAAACAGACTGATGGCGTCAAAACTACTCAATGTGTGCTGAGTGGTATCTGTGCGTCTGCATGTCACCCTCCGTGCTTATTAAAAACTATAAAAACTGGTCATAAACCACGTCTGATTGTTTTGATTTTGAAATGTTCCTAAATCGTCTGAGCTGCTGTTAATACTCTAAATATTTATAATACTGAACATTACAATTAATTTATAAAATATGCTTTTGCGCTGCAAATTGTATGACGTCATAAAATAGAAGCATGTTGTAGAGATGTGATCCAAATTTGGAAAAGAGGCTGGAAAGGAGCGATAATCTTCACTGAAAGAGGAGTAGGAACAGTATGCCTGCTTGAGGGTCTCTATGGGCCAAGCCTAAAGCCATTTAACTTCCATGGGCATTGGATTTTATGTTTTGACAATTTGTGCACTAAAAGAGCACAAAATTGTTAGATGAGAACAAAGTTTTTGATACATTTAACCTCTTAATTTTGCACTAAATTGATGCATCTAACTTTAAAATGTACACATTTTTTCTCCCGGGGGTGCATGCCCCCGGAACCCCCTAGAGGGTTCGGTCCCCCCCCCACCATAGTCTCTTGAAATCCTGTGGGAAACACTGAACGCGATCTCCTGTTGTTTTGCTCATATGAAAGACGCAATCCTCACTGCGCGCTGTTAGTAGATCAGATAGCACATTTTTTGCTGGTGGTATCAAGTTTGCACACGTTTTAAGACACGCAAACCTTTAGTAAATCATGCCCTAAGGGACAAGCAAGCAAAGGTAGGCACACACACCTAAAAAATTGTCCAACTGCTGAAATCTGACCAAGAATATCAGAAAACGTATTTAATTACATAATTGCTGATATTAGCTTTTTATATTATAGCTTGTTGCTGTCTGTGATGCATTACAACGAACATGCTGAATGCAATGAAGCAACAACCTCTACAGGACAGCTGGTCTATAAGGTGGCATTCCACAAATCTAAAAAAAAAACATACAGTAAGTTATAAATCAATTTTATTTTTTAAACCCAAAAGCACAATACATTTTTAAATACCTTTTATAAATACCTATTTAAATATACCTTTGTAAATCTTTGTAAACGTTTCCAAAAAACAGATGATTGTGAAAAATGAGCAATAACCAAACGTTATGAAATAGATTTTTGTTCTTGAATTACTACAGGATTGTTGTTTAAAGGCTTTATATGTGATTTTTTTGATTCAGCAGATGTCGCCCTTGAGCACCAGCATGAAACCAAAACAACTCGCGGTGCATTGTTGTGTTAGCATGCTAATGCGATCTTTATTATGCTCGTATCCGCACACTGCATGTAAATTTACCCGAAATGAGCGTGATCTAGAAACGCAGTTAAGCAGTGAGTACAGTATGATATTCTTCTTTACTCTAGTCCCTCAATTAAACAACTTTTATTCGCGAGGGGAGGAGTCAGCAAACTGACAATATGACTCGGAAAACTCAGAAAACATCACAGACAGTGGGACTCGGGTGTTACACCCATTGTAGACAGTCATTACTAGCAGAGTTATTTTCAGAGGATATACTTGATTTCTATTATATTTAAGTGTGAAAAAAGCCTTTAAAAGGTGTAATCTGGATAAGTGTGATCCGGATCTGATAATTCATTTTTTTCTTCTAAGTGTCATGTAATCAAACTCTCTTTCATCCCGGGTTGTTAAAGGATAACTGGATGGGATCACCCTGATCCAGGTTTTAAATTTTAAGGATGACCAAATCTGGATTACCCATGCTTTAAATGGAAAGTGGGGGGCACCAATATCAACACAACATGAAAGATCCTCATAGGCCTTTTTAATTGATCATGTTATGTTTAATATTTGGTGGAATATTTAATTCGCAATGAAAGCCTTAAGTTTTTATTTAAAACCATGTCTGTCCTAATAGGGATGCAATAATTCAGGTTGAAAATATTTCAACATATTTCAAATATAGGGAGAACAAATCACATTAAGTGTTATTATTTTAAAAGTAGAAAACAAACAAACAAAAAACAATTAATCAAATATGAGGAGTCACATCGAGTGATGTAATGGAAAAAGTGTAGTTGAACTTTTGCAAATGTCCTATACCTTGTTGCTATTTGCGGACATTTAAATACTAGACACGTTGTACACGACCTACGGGTGGGAGTCCGTGAACTGGCGATTTTGCTGATTGATTTTGATGTTGATTCTTTTTCAGTATTTAAGAAGTTCCTTGTCTAGAGCTGCTCTGTTACAAACTGGAGAAAACTATGACAAACAACCAACCAAAACAGATCAAATAAAAAAATGCATCAATCTTGTGGTTATTATATTAATTTGTTTTTTTATTATTGATGTGATTCATCAAATTGTTTTAGCGTGTATGTGATTAAGATGTACACCATATAAATATCCAATTTACAATATGTATGTGTTGCATATTGGCAAATGCAACCAATCATTGGCTGTATATAAACCAAAAAGAACATACCCATTATGAAACAACAATGGAGAACTGATGCGACAAACATATAATTACTCAAAGTATTATCCTATCCTATAAAGTAATATCCTAATTAGGGAGGCTTGTCAAAATAATTGAAGTGAAAAGAGAGAAAATATACACACCCAACTGGTTGAGATACAAACATTGTATACCTGAATAAAGTAAGATTAATAATATGGTATATAATGAGAGACATGAATGGAATTGATGCCATAATATATGTAAGTTAGTGCTGAAAAATTAAATGTCGTTACAACATTTGTTTGCTTATTAAAAAAAGGAGGAAACAAAACATATGTTTGACAAAGTACAGTTCATCAAAGAATGGATTACCGATGTGTAGATATCTTTTAAATATACAACAAAGTAAATGTACATTGAAAGCTTTTTTTAAATTTGAACCCATCTGTTTATGTTGTTAACTCTTACCCCAAATGTGTGTTGACTTCATTCATGTAAAACCCTTCAGGGAAATGAACAGACTTGGTTTTTAAAGACCAAATTACCTACGCAACATGTGTGATGAGCTACACCAAAATTGTCACAGTTGTAGTAACATTGTGGATCACTGGGGTCGGGGACATGCCCTGGCCCTGAACACACTACAGAGCCTGATGCTGTGGTTGTTGTAGGAGGAGCTGTGGTTGTTGTAGGAGGAGCTGTGGTTGTTGTAGGGGCAGCTGTGGTTGTAGTAGGGGCAGCTGTGGTTGTTGTAGGGGCAGCTGTGGTTGTTGTAGGGGCAGCTGTGGTTGTTGTAGGGCAGCTGTGGTTGTTGTAGGGGCAGCTGTGGTTGTAGTAGGGGCAGCTGTGGTTGTTGTAGGGGCAGCTGTGGTTGTTGTAGGGGCAGCTGTGGTTGTTGTAGGGAGAGCTGTGGTTGTTGTTGGGGCAGCTGTGGTTGTTGTAGGGAGAGCTGTGGTTGTTGTTGGGGCAGCTGTGGTTGTTGTAGGGGCAGCTGTGGTTGTAGTAGGGGCAGCTGTGGTTGTTGTAGGGACAGCTGTGGTTGTAGTAGGGAGAGCTGTGGTTGTTGTTGGGGCAGTCGTGGTTGTTGTTGGGGCAGCTGTGGTTGTTGTAGGGGCAGCTGTGGTTGTTGTAGGGGGAGATGTTGTAGTTGTTTTAGGTTGAGATGTTTCGGTTGTTGAAAAATCACAGCACTTACAGGAGTCTCTAAAGACCAAAGAAGGTGGGCAAACTTGGTGATGAGCTACACCAAAATTGTCACAGTTGTAGTAAGAGTGTGGGTCACTGGGGTTGGGGTAAAGCCCAGGCCCTTCTGAACACAAGCCTCCAGAGCCTGATGCTGTTGTTGTGGTTGTTTTAGGGTGAGATGTTTCGGTTGTTGAAAAATCACAGCACTTACAGGAGTCTCTAAAGACCAAAGAAGGTGGGCAAACTTGGTGATGAGCTACACCAAAATTGTCACAGTTGTAGTAAGAGTGTGGGTCACTGGGGTTGGGGTAAAGCCCAGGCCCTTCTGAACACACGCCTCCAGAGCCTGATGCTGTTGTTGTGTCTGTTGTGGGAGAAACAGTCAGATATTGTGTTAAATGATCTTAACCCTTGCTTGATCATCATATTATGATATGACAGAGCATGAATTCTGAGATTCCTTTATTTCAAGAAGCTGAACTAGAAATGTACTCTGCATAAAACGTTATAGAAGTATAAAACAGTGAGTTTTAGAATTTTGCTTCGCTAATGGAATTTTTTTTTTTTTTTAAGTATGGACAATTTTTTATTAATTGTTTACCTGGTACTAGCAGATTATGCAGTTGGCTAACAAATGGGCACTTGCCCTGGTTACAGAACTGTCCAGTGAAATCATCCAGGTCCAGAGACCAGACAAAGGCTCCTCCAAATTTGTTTGCTTTGAGGTAATTGATCTGAGAGGATGAGAAAGATAACATTTCAGCAGCCTGTATAAAAAATCAATGTAACTGAATTTTGTACATCAGTGAAATCAGTAATTTGCAGCCACTAAAAAGTAATACTGTGTTAAAGACAGACGCTTACCTTGGTATTTATACTGGTTGTGTCGTCAAATCCAACCCACTGACTGTATGTTGTGGCATATGGAACTTTCTGATCAGAAATAAAATGGGTTTGTACCCCACCTAGATAATGGCAAGTCTGAAAAGAAGGGTCAGATTTGGTATTTAGATCTAAATAAAGTGATTATAATTTTAAAGATATATCTGGCAGACAAAATACAGCCAAAACTGTTAGCCAATAATAAAGCTATCAATATAAATTGGTAATATTGAAACCGTGCAAGAATACCTCATAATAGGCCCAGAATCCTTCTTCACCGGTGAAACAGCCGTCGTCACCAGGACCACTGGCTGGTGCACCGACAGCGCTAGAACTAGAGGACAGGTAAAAAGCTCGTCCAAAAGCTCCAAACCCCATGTTCAGTTTTTCTTCAGGTGCTCCCTGGTCCCGCCAGTACTCTAAGGCAAAGGCCTAAGAAGGGAAGACCAATGATCAAAACAAATAGGATACAGGTACATGTTTGGAAACATAGCTGTATGAAAAAATAAAACCTTGCTTACAGTGTTAGAGTAGATAGCATCTCCAGTGTCTTGGGATCCCTGGAATAAGGGGCTGTGATGTGCTGTGACACTTTCCCAGGGGCCGTGGAAGTCAAATGTCAACACGTTGATGAAATCCAGGTGCCTGATAAATTAGGAGGAAATCACCTTTACTAAAACAGCAGCTTTTTATTATTATTATGGCAGAGATTTATTAAAAAATATTTTACATGGCAATATGTTTCACGTCATAGCCAGCATCGATGGTTGACTTCTCAGCAGAGACAGATGTTGCAAGGATTAATCTTTCCTGGTTATTTGAAGTTCCTTCATCCACAAAGGCTGTTTCCAGCTCCTATACAACACAGAAGCATGGTTCTCAGTCTCAGTTAAATAACTTTTAATGTCATGCATGGCATTTGCAGTATGGCTTTTTTCTGAAAATGCCAGTTCCAGAGGAGATATTAAGGATCTGACCTTGCAAAGCTTTGTGAATATCTGCTTGTCCTCTTCAGCTGGGTACCTCCAGTCAAGGTTTAGCCCATCAAAATTTATTGCTCTGAGTAGTTTGATGACTGACTTGATGAACACTTCTCTGTTCTCTTGTGATCCCGCCATTGTCCTGAATCTGGTAACCATAAAAATAATTAAAAAGATAAACACAAAGGGGTATTTACACTCACACTCCTGCTATTCAATGAAGGCCTCCATTCAAGCAGAACAAGGCAATCAAAACATGAGATAATCATTTTTCTTCTTTTTGGACAAAGTGCTGAAACAGTACAACAAAAGGCAAGGCCAATTTGGACGTCAGAGGATTACAACAGTTTGTTAGTAATATGTGTCCTTCCAAACAAGCCTTAATGTCCTTGAAGGTAACTTACTTTTCTGTCCCAAACTTCTCTCCACCAACAGCCAGCAGGGTTTTCAGAAGTGGATTTCTACAGGAGCATAAAAATAAAATAATGTTTTTTTTTGCAAAACAAATACCTTGTATTACAATGTAATCTCCACAGTATTTATAGATTTAAGGACTGACCTTTGTTTGAGTGCGTTAAATTCAATGTACTGCTGAACATCATTTACAGCTGTGGGAACCAGCTCATTTTTACGTATGTCAGAAAAGGCAAAAATCAGATGGGTGCACTTGTTTGGATCAATATCTGAAACTCTGAACTTCCCCACAGCTGGTCTACCTTCAGCCTTGCTGTTATAGTAGCACATCAGCCTGGAGGTAGAAGCTATAGACATGAAAGAAAAATCATGATTATTTTAATTATTTATTTTATAGATCAAACGTTTCAATGTCCTTATTAACATTAACATCTGTTTACTCAAGGATATTATATTTCTTCTAGACAGACAGTCCTATGTAGACATTGCAGCTATAAAGGTGATGATTGTGATCAATTTGTGTGATGAACTTACCCAAGCTGGCAAAGATCAAACAGAGACCTTCAAAAGGACACATGTGTTAGTATACAGTTTAATAAAATAAAAAAAAAAAACCAATACAAACAGGCTTTCTGACATAATAATTCATGCATTACAGGTAAAAGTTCTAGTTTACTGTTTCAGGTTAATTAATTCAAGCTTTCTGACATTTCTGATATTTCTCAGTACATTGGAGGTAAAATGAATACAAATTCCTCTCAGTGAAAATAACTTGGGGTTACCTCACAAAAACTACCTGCATGAGACAATACACATGTACACTTAACACTTTTTGAGATTTAGTTGAATCAAACATTCAAAGACACTTATACTTGAGCAGCATGTCTTACCTGCAGATAGAGTTAACTTCCACATTTTGTTGCTATGTGAATAAATAGAAATAGAAAAAGAGAATGAATATGCGGTTGAAAAAAGACGAATTCCAATTGTTTCCAAAAAATAAATCTGTTCCAAATACACTTAAAGATAAAAATAAAATATAAGAAATATAAGGCAATCCTATTAGTGTTGGTCCCAACTCAAGGCACACAGATAATTTTACAGGTATGTTAAACTTTTACTTAGTCGCAATATTTGGTGACAAAAGGCAGTAAAAGGCTAAATAATAAATACAGTCTCCTGGCTCTTTAGGGACAGTAGCGATAACACATAATGTCAAATTGAGCTCTATACTATGAATCAGGACATAACAGGCTACATTATAGCATTTTGATGGTGGGGTGAAATGGGGGGGGGGGGGGGGGGTTGGGAAATGGAGGGATGTCTGTTCAAGTCCTGCTATGGCCAAATTATAGAAGTTGGTCTGGTAGCTACAGAACAACCAAACCTCCAACACCTCAGGCACACAGCCTTACTCTGACATCTCTCCATTACTGTGTAATTTTGGGATTATGTGTGTGAGAAGCATCTCTCTCAATAACAGAGTGTAACCCTGATTTTTTCTCAGATATTAATCAAGTTTGTAAAATAAAGTATTAGTTTAGAGATTTAAACTGGGTACATCAGAGTTTCATTGTAGAGTAAAAGAATACAGGCCAGAGAAAATGTCCATGCCTTCACATAATCAAAATTTAGCACCTGCGGTGCACTATGGACTTTTGGTGGAGGAAAGCGAAAGTTGGAGAAATTATGGTTATGTGGTATATGTTCATAACTCGATACACAAACTGTCCTCAGAGGAAAATTTGGTCCCTGTAACACTGTTTAAAGATAAAATGCTACTCGAGAAGTTATGGTGGGGGGCCCACAACAGTAAAACTGTAACTCTCATGGTGACTTTTTAACTCCAAACATGTTCCAGGGACCCATTGTCTTCTTTGAGTAAAGTTTGTGTATTTACTTAAAATATAAAATATAGCATAGAATTGTTTCACTTCTCCAAGTTTCAAATTTCAATACCAAATCTACATGTGCACCTTTAAAAAAAAAACAAAATTCTCCTATTACTGGACTCACAGTCGTTCTACCTACCTATACCAGGGTTGGGTTATGTTTCAATTAGAGAACAAAGAGCATCTGGAATCAATGGTAAAGATAATGTTTGTTTTATTACCTCCCAAAATAACATGAAAATATTTAAAAATGTGAAAAAAAACAAACAATAGAGCTGCTAAATGGAAAGGTGCAGGAAGTGGAAATGATGATGCTCATTAGCCACCAAAGAATTTCAGCCATTGATCCAGCGCTGTGTTGCTAGTGAAGCATTTGCTTTGATAGAAGCTGACTCATTATTCTTTATGTCTTATTTTATTCCATTGACAGCAGGTCAGGTCTGATTTGACTTAAATGGTACGAATTTGGATAAATGAATTGCTTTTGTCTTACAGCACAACTTTAATGCTTAACATCCTAACAATATTTAAACAAGTCTTTACAGTTAAATCCAAATTAGAAGAGAAACAGACAGGGAAATGCCGCCCTGTTGTACTCTTTCTGGCTAAAATGTGTCCAGTTAAGCTTGTGAGCTAGTTGGCGAGACGATGCAGTTGTTGCAATTTATCTTTAAATATGTTTTTAAAACAGAATATTTAGTTTTATGAATTCAAAGTTAAAAGAATACTCACAGAAATAATGTTGAAAGAAGCATGAACTGTTCTTCTACCGTGACTGACTGATGACTGATGGCTGTGGAGTTTTAATACAGGTATGCAGCTCACAAGGCGTGGCAACAACAAGAAGAACAGGGATAATTAATTCAATTTTGCACTGTCCAAAGTACTATTGTCTAATTGTTAAGCATGACGGAAGCTGGGCGAAGTCACCTGAGATGCCAAGCCCTTTCAACTTTCAAGTATCACTTATTTTTTTTAAAGTTAGCTCGGAGCTTTCGTCTCTAGGGGAGAATGAGAACACTAAAGTCATCAGTGTTAATATTAAATAGAAAACCAACTAGATCACTCAAACTGTGTGATTCACTTTTTTTCTTAATGAAACCTTTTGAATTTGATTGAATGCTACAAGTTCATTCTTTGATATCTGCTAAGAATGACCAATAAGGTTAAACCACTCGCTGAAGAGAATACAAAAGTGCTGCCTTCATTCTGTGGCCCTTTTCCTCTAACAAAGGTCTGTGTCTGGTCTCATTCTTGTAATGTTGTGATTAAATGGTCAGTATCTGCAAATCCTAGACCACCCGGACATCCCCCCTCTGTATGCTGAGACTGTGCTTTGATGTTTTTGTAATGGACTGTAAAACAATGACTGTTTCTAATTTTCTGTCCAGTTATGTTTCTCATATTCAGGTCATATACAATATAAAACTGTCCGGTACAACGCCATCCCAAACAGCAGTCTGTAACCTCGTAAGTATTTTATTATAAGACCTTTAGGTTGCACTTGTATTAAAGTGGCGTAAAATGGAGATATTATAATATATTTACAATCTCAAGCACTCATTACTCACACTCATTTTGAAGCCTTATTCCAATATCAAAGGTAACAGGAAATAATAAACATAAAAAATATGCCTGTATAAATGAAATGCTACTACAGGAAACCAAAAACACCACTTGTCATACTACTAAAAATAACAGTAGTTTCTCCTGTGTAATAAGCCAAAAGACTCGCTTAATTTGTTGGTCTTTGCCAGTTTTTAAAATAATTCACAAAAACAACATTATGATTTTATGTAAGGTATGTCAAAGCGAGACAAAGACAACTAAACAATGGGCACACATCACAAGGCTATAAAAAGGAGGGCAGAGCAAAACAGCATCATCATTTAATAATGCTGTAATGATGACATTTAATTACATTATTATTAAGAACAAACCAATGAGAACAGATTGCCATTAATAGTTAGCTTCAACAACAAAGAAAGAACATTTTGATGAGTCAATAATAACCAGCAGTATCATTAAAAAGGGCATGTCCAAAGACATTGTTATAAACATCCTAACTCGAAAACACACACACACACACACACACACACACACACACACACACACACACACACACACACACACACACACACACACCCAATTTGGCGAGAAACACTTACCACTTACCTCACTTAAGGAATGACAGGTGGAGTCAGGTTGTTTTAGAGATTCAGCTCGTTAAGTCTAGCTGCTTACATCATTCAGAGAAAGTGGTTTCTCAGGGGGATATGTCACACTCAGTCATGAGAAGGGCTGCATGATTAATCCTCAAAAAACAAACAATGTGGCTGTTTCATGCATACATGTGTTCATTTTCTAAATTATGGAGATTTACTTCTTTGTATTTAGTTATGCATTCAGAGTAATTCACTTAGTCCTTATTTTCTTTGCAACTATTCCAGTTGCTATATCAGTCGCACTCACACAGCATAAGGTAAAAAAATATGCATTTAATTCATGAATAAGGCCTAAACTCTGTGGAGATGAATTAAATAAACTGCTGATTTATTTAATGCATCCAACTTGTAAACAGTCAATGCTCGGATCAAGTGATCAAGTTATCCCTCTGCTGCTTACTTTTGGGTGTTGGTGTGTAATGATTTCATCAGCATATTATCTAACGCCCTGAGAATCTCCTATCTCTTTTATTGAAAAGGACCAAATGCACTTGATGTGAATTCCCTCCATGGAGGTCTCAATGGTGACCTCTGGTGGACAGAGATGTCATAACCACTCAATGTCCTGCTGGATGATCATTGCAGTCAGGTGTGCCTGCAGCCACTATTTAAAGCCCCCACACAAACCTGTAGATCTCCATCCACTACCTCTGCCATGCGGCCCTGAACATGCAAGACTCGTTGTTTGTGTTTATTTGTCTTCTGTATAATACTTAAATCTGTTTGAGTTAACTGTTAAATCAATAATGATAGTAATTGTTTGCTGGTTAGATTATATTGTTCATTTGAAATATGTTTGTTGATACACAGAAAGTATGGCTTTGGACGGAAAATAAATCCTTCAAACTGCAATCTGTCCTCTTTCATTTGGGATTCTTAGGCTGTCAGCCCATTTTTAGAAACCTGAAAGGTTTAAATAGCGCATATACAACTTAAAACATGAGTGAATGGAGGCCCAGGGTAGCTGGAGTCTCGCACCCAGAATAGCTGAAACACGTCACCAATCACAAATAACTTTAGACGTGGAAAGGTATAAATCTACTTTTGTATCGCAGATAATACATTTTACTCAATAACTACATAATATTTACTTCACCCTCTTAAAATTCTACTTGTAGTTATAGCCTTTGTTGAAAACTAATTATTATAATAATTTTATGCAGTGAAGGTCTGTCATTCTTGATGTGGGGAGTGGGGCAGCGCACTATCGCTGTTTAATGACCCAAAATATTTTATGAAGGAAGAGATTGCTACAACTTATTTTGAACCAAGGATGAACTCGCCTAACAGCCTTTAGATTTTTAGTCGCGCTAGTGGTGTGGCTTAAAAGAGGGCAGCTTTGTCTTCTGCAAGTTTACCCAACAACCTTGATTCTGGCTCTCACCAAGTTTTGCATATTGGGAGCTCACGCATACCACATTCAAATGACTAATTACCTGAGAAGCAATTGAAAGTCCTCTCTTCCTGTGCCATAATGATGAATACTATTGTTCAGCATAGATGTCACTTTAAATAGTAATGTGGTGAACATGTAAAACATTTCAGCAGTATCTACTTAAGGTTATGATGTTGTTCTAAATATCACCACTGTTGTGATTTAGTCCTAGGCCCAAGGCCTCAGGCATAATAAATAGTACAAAATCACAGCCTTGATGGTGATATTGCTTTTATAGAAAAGTTACACAAGCCGCATAAAATGGTAAACATTTATGATCTGTTACAAATTATATATTGTTCTCCATCAACTCAGCTGAAACTGGGTCATTGCCAAGCAACCACAGTATTTTCCTGCTCTTTCGCCATTATGTTTGTGTCCATGTTATTGACTATATACTGTTAAACTATGAACTATGCATGTCCACCTCTTTGCATTACAAAAGCAGTAAAGTTTAATGACAACTGAGTGCTCATAAAGTTTTCTCCATTCCTCATCTACGTCGCTAATCTGATGGGCCCAGTTGTTCAGAAGTCATCCAACAGGATTAATCCTATCTGATAGGATCAAATCTTGAAATTTGGTTGTTCACAGTGAAAACAGGATCACATAATTAGATAAAATCAGGTGATCTAATCCTGGTTGTTATCCAAATCAAACCTCTGGTTTGTGTTGGTCAAAACTTCTGAGTAGGATCAGGATTACTTTGATCCAAACAAAAATCAGGATAATCCGGATCATAGCAGAGGGTTGGAATCAGACTTGATTTTTATACATTTTTTATTTAACCGTTATTTAACCAGTCAGGTCATTATGAAGATATTCATATTTACAATGATGGCCTTGAAGAAATGTAACAAAAATGAACCAAGTGGTCAAACAAGACAACTAAAACTGATAAACATAGTCGGTCCGTCGGTCGGTCGGTCTGTCTGTGGGGATCGTCCAAGTTTTTTGGGTTTTGTTTTCCATTTACAGTAGCACTGGTTAATCAGATTTGGTAATCCTTCAAAGTCTGGGTGATCCTATCTAGGGTTTATTTGAACAACAGGGATGAAAGTGAGCTGAATTACATGATCCTGAGGAAAAAAAGAAACAAATTACCAAATCCGGATCGTTTTTATTTGGATTACACCTTTTGAACAACCGGGCTGTGGTGTTGTACCCCTCTAATATAGCACCAAATAGCCAATTAAAACTAAACTCTTCAGAAATAGGGAACACTCAGGCATACATCAGCATGATACAAACTAACTTCAGTATAAGGAGAGAAAATGTATTTGTTTTTTATTTATAGTTTGACTCATGTCCCATGCTTTAACATTGAGGATGCTTCAATGTAATGACTTATGCCAGTCAGTAGAGGCAAGCACTTATGCAAGTGTAGCATGAAGTTTGTTTGCACACATGAATTAAATTCATCCTTGGTACAACATATCTCCAATAATCATATCTACTTAAAATTCCTGCATTAAAGTAAAAGATGTTAGGCCAACCAATCCCATTCCTTGCCACCCATGCCATGGTCGTGTAATTGGTCAAGACTTTACACAATGTTATTCTAGGTCTTAGCTGTAATCAGATATCAGATATTAATGAATACATCTATAAGTAAATAGCCAGGATATCCCAGGATCTGCCCTCTTCTGGTTTGCGTCCTTCCTCCCAGGGAGATCTTTTAGAGTTTTTTTGGAAGGAGGAAGTGTCCAATATTGCACAATCTATCCGCGGGGTACCTCAAGGGGTCAGTGCTTTGTTGCCTTCTCTTCGCCATATACATCTCCTACCTTGGTGCAATCACCTTCTCTAATTGCTTCTCATACCACTGCTATGATGACGATACCCAGCTCTTCCTATCATGCCCGCTAGACAGATTAAGTTACAGATTAAGAAATAATTTTGTCATGCCTTGCTGATATGTAGGCGTGAACACATCACCCCTGTCCTGCAAGATCTCCACTGGCTCCCTGTCCCGTACCGTATCGAAATCAAAATCCTTCTCCTCACACATAAAGCCCTTAACCACCAGCCCCCTCTACTGTACCTGATGGTTCTCCTTCACCCTCACACTCCTGCACATAGCCTCCGTTCTTCAAAAGCCAACCTCTTATCTCCCCCACTTTGAACCAAGCACCGAACCTGGGGGGACAGAGCCTTGCATGCAGTAACTGGGAGCCAGTGGAGGGACATGAAGCAGCAGACTGCTTTATGAACATCTACGCACTTAATGATATTGAAAATGATATTGAAAATGATATTGATGATGATTTTGATAATGACATGAATGATTTCTAGGTTGGTTTTGATGCTGATTAGAATACTCAAAAACAGCAGTTGATGTAATTGTTGATGTATAATTAACAAAGTGGCAAGATGGCGGAAAGTGTGTGCTCAGGCTCGGCTCCACTCAGCCGGCCACGTTTAAAACCAGTGATTTACGAGACTGCTGATGGAAAAACCATTGTTGTTGAAGACTTGCTGCAAAATTGTGAAATCTTGTGTCTACAAGAAACGTTTCTATCCAAACAGGATTTGGGGAAACTAAACTCTTTTAATGACAATTTCCATGGGGCTGGTGAATCCACTACAGATCTTACTTTGGGAATAGTGAGAGGAAGGGTAGCAGGTGGTGTGGCAATCCTATGGCATAAAAAGCTGGACCCTGTAATAAATGTAATACGGTCTGGAGTTGACTGGTGTATTGCTGTGCAGTTGAAGATTGATAAAGTGTTCACTATTTTGAATGTATACACACCTTATCAGTGTCAGGCAAATGAGGATGTATACTTGAACAGTCTTGCATTTATTAACTCATTTATTCATGACAATCAGTCTAGTAGTGTTTTTGTGGTTGGTGATATGAATGCTGATATTTCAGATAGAAGGTCAATATTTGCTAAACATATGTCACAGTTTTGTGATTATAACAGACTTTTATTATCCAGCCAAATTCTTTTACCGGCAGACAGTTACTCTTACATAAGTGAGGCCTGGCACACAACATCATGGCTTGATCATTGTATTAGCACTGCTGATGCCCATGAGATTCTGCATTACATGGAAATCTTATATGAGAAATCAATGTCTGATCATATACCATTTATAATGTCTCTTGATGTTGAAAATCTACCTGAGATGCTTAATGAGGTCAGTAATACTACAAACACTAAAGCTAAACTGGATTGGGCTCAACTCACCAATGAAGACATCTTATCATACTATGGGAAAACTGATATCCTTCTTAGTGGTGTATATTTACCGAGAGGTGCAATTATGTGTTCTAATGCAAAATTCCTCTGTTTTAATTGGCGTTATTGATGCCTCTAAGGCATTTGATCGAGTCAATCACCAGAAGCTATTCAAAAAATTAAATCAAAAGGGTGTACCTGCTAGCATTATAAGAATACTTGCATACTGGTATGCTAACCAGAGTATGCAAGTCAGATGGGGCAGTAGTGTCTCTGGTCCCTTCAGTGTTGGTAATGGAGTTCGACAAGGGGGGCTACTGTCACCAGCCCTCTTCAACCTGTATATGAACGATTTATCTGAACAACTGAATGGCTGTAGAACGGGCTGTATGATTGGCAACACTGTGATAAACCATCTAATGTATGCGGATGATTTGGCCATTTTCTCTCCCAGTAGTGCTGGGTTTCAGCAGTTGTTAAATGTGTGTACAGAATATGGTGCCAAACATGATGTGCAATATAACTCAAATAAGATCAGTGTGATGATATGTAGGGCAAAAGGAGATAAGGACCTCCACTTTCCTCAAGTTTATCTTTCTGGGGAAGAACTTTGTGTTTGTTATGAAGCCAAATACCTTGGACACTTTATAACAGATCAAATGTCTGACGATGACGTCATTTTTAGACAGTGTCGTACATTATATGCCCAGGCCAATATGTTGGCAAGAAAATGTCATGTGTTCTGAACACGTAAAGATATGTCCCTTTAGAGCATATTGCACTCCCCTGTATACTGCCCCCTTATGGGGTAAGTTCAAAAAATCAAGTATGCACAGACTTCAGGTTGCTTACAATGATTGTTTTAGGATCTTACTAAAAAAACCAAGGTGGAGTAGTGCAAGTGAGCTATTTGTGTATGCAGGAGTTAACACCTTACAAGCTTTATTGAGGAACCTGATGTACAGATTTATCGGTCGCTTGAATGATTGAAGAATGTAATTATAATGCTGCTGTCAAACCCAAGTTATAGTGCA